GCAACCCGTTCAACCAGTTGTGGCGGTTCCTGGGGCTGCCTCACTCCTGCGAGTTGGAGACCCACTCGGATGGCCGCGTCTCCCGGCGGGCTTGGACTGCGATCGAGATATGGGTCATCGCAGGCATCGGAGGCCTCGGTGTCGCTGTTGTCAGCCATGCCGATGAGTCGGTGTAGCAAGAAAATATGCTTTTCTATAACCATGCATTGCTCACAGCGTGTGTCTTGTTTGTTTTTGTCTTTGTGGTGTGTGTGTATGTCAATTTGACTACTTGATTGGATATGATACTTGCTAATGCTATTTTGACATCCATATAAAAACAAAACATAGCCTGATTGTATATACCACGTTTCCTGTCACGTGGTTGACCCCGCTGCAGACGCATGCACCGAGCTATGAAATTTGTCCTTGGCCTGAGACGGATGACCGTCTTCCACCCATGCCTGTGTATGGATTCGTGCGTGGATCTCATGTCTGGACGGATTACCGTCCAAGAGGGCACTTCTATACGGTTTGTTCTCATATAATTATCGCAAAAGATGCGCTCTCTTTTTCCTCCAGGTTCGATCCTCTATGATGGCGTGACGTTATTGACGTTGTAAGCTAAGACTGCGCAATATGCGGAAATCCATTTCCAAGCTTCACATGTTGTCTCCAGGGGCAAATCTTCACGTAACTCCGTCAAAAACTGCATAGCACTGGCAATGTTCTCGCCAAACGCCTGACGATTGCCACTTTCGATTCTCCACACTGGGTTGGGTTCCACCTGTGGCATTGACAGCAGCGGTAGTTCGATCAGTACACCACGTTTGTCCACAGAGCCGAAGTCATCCATGTGCTCGAGTAGAGCAATGATTCGGCGCAGCAGCTGCCTCGAAAACGACATGCACAGAGCGTGGTCTTTGTACTCGTCATTCACAGTGACAGTCTCATAAATCTGTAGTGTGTTCCGAAAGGCATCAATGAACGTCCTCAGGCGATCGGCATTGGGGGAGAGACTTTGTAAGCCAGCTACTGTCATGGCAGCTATCTCTGCCGATTCGAGCCGCATGGTGCATGAGCTGCGAAGCAATAAAATCGCCGGATTGAGCTCTCCATTCCAAAAAAAAGAAGACGGACGACCATCTTGTACAGGCGGCGCCAACTGAACGCTTCAAATGTGTTCACCGGTGCATTGTCTCGACGGATAACCGTCTTGTAGAGCCGTATGCAGTACGTGCATTTTTTCCACGTGCAGGATACACTCCTTGGAAATCTAAACTATCACATTCTCTCTGCTTGAATCTAGATATATTATATATTGTGCAAAAACCAGATTGCTTAGCTATATCTGGCAATCCTTCGGACCAAAGCAGACGGACTACTCGTCTCCGGTCCCCTTGGTAGTATTTTTGCCTCTGATGCACATTCGTTAGTTCGCTCGGTCTGGAATTTTATCCTGTGATGACATCCGACAGGATTCCATGCGCTGCGCGCTGTCAGCGTCTTGTCACAAAATTTGTCTTCTACATATATAGAAGCATCTCTCAGGCTTCTTGAAAGATCTACTTGCCAAGGTTTTTCTTGGCAATTTGCAGCGCCTTGCAGCATTCTTGCAAGGATTTAATTTCACTCTGGAGCTCTTTCTCAGATGTGATCGCGACAGTGACCCCGGCTTCCCCATTTTTCTTGCACGTGAAGGTGACATCGGTGAAGTTCACAGCAGCGTTCTGCCCAACCTTCAACATGATCTGCTGGAAGCTGTGAACCATCTTCTCCAAGCGCAGTTTGTTCTCATGCATCAAACGAACGGTCATTTCTGGCAGCTCCTCCTTCTTTGGCTCCAAGGCCTTGACTAAGTTCTCCAGTCTGTTTGACACAGGCTGCAATGCTGGCAAAGCTTTGCCAGCTAGCATAGACACTGTCTTGTGTTCTTTCTTCAACTCCTGTTCACGCTTCCTCTGTGCCTGCTTGTCGGCGTTGCCGCGGCTTGCCTTTGGAAGGACTATCTGCACGTCATCGTCTGACGCACACTCCAAGTCCACGATGGTCTGCAACACCTCATCATCTGCTAAGGCCTGAGCGGACGGCTCTTCGATCATCGGAGCGTCCTCCTTGCCCTTGCCTTTGCCTCGGCCCTTCACACGCTTGGCTCCATTGCTGCCAGCGCGCTCCGTGGTCGTGCGCTTGCGACTCACACGTTGCTCTAACTCAACCATTTGACTCTCCGCCTCTTCTTCTGCATGGGTCTGCTTGATGGTGACAAGGTCCACACGGTAGACGCTACCGAAGACTGGGCAGGTCATGGCGAATCCTTTCTCTTGAACTGCGACGGGATCATACCCATTCTGGGACCACCAGGACAATGGTTGATAGGTCCCGCCAGCACTGCGCTTCGCCACGTCTGTGATGCGTTTCTGGAAGTGCTTCAACAAGTTGGAGCGCACAACCTCGTACTTGAGAATGCCACCATTCTGTTTGCGCTCCTCCAGGGCTCGTTGAAAAAAACCGGTCACCTCATCCTTCGACATCTTCGAAAAAACCTCGGTTGGGCTCACGTGGTACTTCAAAAGACTCAAAAGCGATCGGCAAGATTTGCACTCCACTTGCTTGGTGTGCTCGTTCCGTTTCGCTGCCATTTCGGACTCGGCAACAGGCAAGGAACACCGGTCGCACGTGACGAAACCCTCAGGAGCTTCTGATGCAACAAGAGCTTGGGGCTGGTCAGCCATGGTTGCGAGCGGGTGATGATGGATGTCTTGGGCAGCTCGCAGCGACTGAGAAGGGGAACATGCATTGCTCTGCCCCGGTCTGCCCCGTGTCTGCCCCGTGTCTGCCCCGTGTCTGCCCCGTGTCTGCCCCGTGTCTGCCCCGTGTCTGCCCCGTGTCTGCCCCGTGTCTGCCCCGTGTCTGCCCCGTGTCTGCCCCGTGTCTGCCCCGTGTCTGCCCCGTCTCTGCCCCGTGTCTGCCCCGTGTCTGCCCCGTGTCTGCCCCTGCCCCGTGTCTGCCCCGTGTCTGCCCCGTGTCTGCCCCGTGTCTGCCCCGTCTCTGCCCCGTCTCTGCCCCATTCTGTGATTGAATTCTGTGACGTGCGGAAGACGGATGACCGTCGTTAGGACGGATCACCGTCATGGTTCCGAAGCGGTTGTCCGCGGTTATTCGCTGTGTTTTTTCCTCCCGCTGCACGGAATCACTGGTGAAAGTGTTTCGACCATGGGCTGGTGCCATCCTGAGGACGGGTCCGCCGTTCTGGCGTCTTGGGCGGATCATCCGGCACGTCCTTCTTGGGCACGTTCTTGCCGCTTGGCTTCTTGAACATCTTCATGGTCCGAGGTGCCCCTTTCTTTTGCTTCTTCTGGATTATCTTCTTGGCGTTGGCTTTCCTTCCTTGTTTCTTTGGCATCTCCTTCTTCTTGGGTTTGCTGTTCGTATACTCCGCGGAGGCGATCAAAAAACGCCAGGCAACATTGGAAGGCATGACTGGGTGCTGCGAGTTCCGGGGCGCTCTTGGGTGCAGCTGCTGCAAGGTCTCTTCAGGTTCGTCTGCGTGTTGATATCACTACAGTCAGAATTGCACATGGGACCAAAAAAATATGGGTGGCACAACCATCCTAATAGACACCAAGATGGCACAACCATCTTGACACCAAGATGGCACAACCATCTTGCTGCTATATTTCGCAAAAATAAATCACTAATAGATGGAACTACCATCTTGCTGATGCCAATTGTGTATATATATACCGGGAATACAACATAGACGGATGACCGTCTGGACGGAGCGTCGGGAAGGGGGAGTCACGCAGCTTTTTTTTTTGCCTCCCTTTGCTGCTTGGCGCTTTCGCCACCAGTCTTGTCGCTTCTCCATGGCTGCTTGGGATGGCTGCCGCTTCACGTCGTAGACGACCCTTTCACATTCTCTTCGAGAATCAAACCAACCTGTTTCGTACCACTCCTCACGGTCGTACCCAGGCTCTTCACACCTCTGCTTCTTGCGTTGAGCCGGATGAGGTTCAGGTGCTTCGTCTGCAGGAACGTGCAGCCACTCTGTCTCTGTGGTCACGACACCAGCGCTACGCAGCACCCCAGTTCTGCGACTGAATATGGCAGAGGAAGTAGCAGCCTGGGAACCCAAAGCCTCACGCAACATGCTCGTGAGCTCGGGCAGCGTGCGTTCCAGATAGGCATCCGCACTCTCCGCTGTGCCCCAGTCCTGCACTGACGCACTTGTCGCTGGAGCACCACCATCAGACGGAACTGCTGTTGCCTCTACGGTGTTGCTGGAGGCAACGCAAGACTCAGGTGCCACTGTGGCACGCCGTTGTGGAAGAGGTCGAGGTAACGGTTTCACCTGCACTGACTCGCTTGTCTCTGGAGCAGCACCATCAGGAGGAACTGCTGTTGCCTGTACGGTGTTGCTGGAGGCAACAGAAGACTCAGGTGCCACTTTGGCACGCGGTTCTGGAAGAGGTCGCGGTAACGGTTTCACAGGGATGTGGCTCCGCAGGAAAGCTCGAAGAGTCGCATCATCCGGAACTGTGCTAGTTTCCTCCAAAGGTAAGGACATAGGCAAACGGGCACTGGCGGCCCACAGAGCATCCTGCAGCACATCATCAGCAGGCATCTCATCGGACATGGTCGATTTAGTGCTGCTCATGGCTGGACTAGTTGGACTGCACGGCATGCTTAACAGAGTGGCGCTGACCGTCTATATCTACGTGCGCATTAGAGTTCAGCGACATTTTCCCATATGTAACTGCAACAGCACGAAATGCTGAATATATAACAACATAGTTGCTTTGCTGTAAATGTGTTCTGAAAACAGAGATGTATAACGGTAACCCGACACACTCTGAGCATAGCATTTCTGCGAGGTTGCCACATCTAGCACTATATGAAGAAGAAAGTGACACGGACCACCGTGTAAGTTGGAACCAGTCGAGAAGAAAGCGAACGCAGCTGGACACGGACAACCGTGTGACACTGACACAGTAATTTTCCTTCTCGGATCTCACGGGCTGTCATTGTGACCGGTGCATCGCGTCTTTGCGAACGCCAGCGCGAGTGCGCTTGATGCCGTACGTGGTGCTTTCCCAGTCACGTCGCCCACGGTACTGCAACTTGACGTCTTCTGGCAAGTTTTTCCATTGTGTGCGTAGAGAGTTTGCATTCTCTGAAGTCATAGCGCTTGAAGAGGAAGACCGACCATCCATTTTCGACTTCAAGTAGTCCACGTCTACGTAGGGATTCTCGCACTCGGTCAGTAGAGACTTGTGATAGTTCTGCAATTGTTGCTCGTACTCCAAACGCTGTTCAAGGTAAGAGGCAAGCACCTTCGGGAAGCGATGGCCACCTGTAAGCAGATGACGTACCCACTCATTCAAATTGCAAGACCAAAAAGGGGCGGGCCACCGCACAAATCAACTTCATGGCAAAAAAAACTTAAGTATAAATTGGACATCAAAGCCACTCACAAAGGACCCCCACCGAGTCGATGGCAGAAGATTGATCGATCCATCGTGCAACTTGCAGTTGTTCGTGTTCTCGCAGGGGGTCGAAGACGGAGCAGGCTGGGCCACCGCATCCTCGGAAGGTTCGGCAACGGCATGCTCCCCCTCAGACAGTGCAGCGCTGTGCTGTGGACTCGGTGGCATGCCTCGGTGAAGGACAGATCTGAGTCAGAGAGCGCGCATGGACCAAAAACTCACTATATATATTAGAGTGCACGCATAAATGTCCGAGGCGCGTGGCACCGCCGACAGATCATCGGCCAAGTATTTTATGAAAGACCACTCGCTGTCCGAATCGCTGTCAGCAACAGCCATGTTTGCAACGCTTGGTTGGAAATTGACGTTCCGTTAGTAGCTTCAGACTATTTCCATGGCAAGCGAGGACACTAGTGTCGTTGCTGCTATTTGACTTCTGCATCCATGGATCAAATGGTCCTCCTGCATCCTTATATAGGCATCCTTTTAGATTGTTGCGATATGTGTCGCCTGATCCTTCCAAGCCAATGTCACTGCAAAAAAAGGAGAACCATCTAGTCAAGCTTGGGATAGGGGTGGAGAAAAAAAGACGGATCACCGTCCAGAGATCAGCACGCAAGGAGCGCAGAGCGTTAGACGGAAAACCGTCTGTTGAAAAAGCAAAGCCGAAAGAAATCTTTTCCTTGCTGCGATCAGATCTCGCGACTCAAAAAAGTCTATGGTCAAACGAAATTGGGTGTAAAAATGTCTGTGGTCAAAAAATCACCGTGCCCGTCTCGAACTCCAGCACTTCGGACATCTGCGGGGTCAAGTTCGGCTCTAGCAGCTGTCGTACGCTGAGCATCCAAGCCCATGGCTGGTCGACAAAGTAAGCCTGGTGCTTGTCAATGAAGCGCAGCACTGACAGAAGCTCTCTTTGGAAAACTGCTCGGCATGGGTGCAAAACCGACCATCGAGAGGCAGCAGGTAGGACAAGCATGTCAGACTGCATGTGCTTCGTGTCATCGATGGCCCAGCCGAGCAGGATGAAACGCACGGTGTACAGGCAAGTGCGCAAGAACGCCAATGCCTCCTTCACATCATCATGGCCATCTTCCACGCTGATCTGCGTGAAAACTTCCTTCATAAGTTCGAAGCAATCAGCCAGGTCCCGCTTCGCATCTGTGTCCAAGGGGGCGTGCGGCTTCTCGAAGTTGCCAACCATTGCAACTGCGATGCTCGTGCTGTTCAGCATAGCCATGGTCGGTGCGCGCAGACTTTTCTACCTAAGTGTGAAGCGATCCAAAAAAAACCTCTGGGCAAAGACCCGTGCTATATCCGCAAATGCGAGCTGGCAGTGACAAAGATGGAAAACCGTCTGCGAGGACGTCCGGCTGGAAGCTTGGCATGTCGACGGATCACCGTCAGCAATTCATGAGCTGTCTCAAAGACCAATGACAGGATGCTACTATAGGCTACTGTATAGGCGCATGATTCACTTGTGAATACCACAAGTACAAATGCAAGAGCGTTTTTTTATCTATCGCTACTGGTGACATCCATTCTTTGCAGTCGAATGGCGCGTCAAGAGACGACGCAAGACGAATTGAAGAGCTCTGGCCAGGACACTACAATGTCCAGCCCTTTTTCACCCAACAACTTGGCGCATGTCCCGGAGAATTGCGACAGCGGCTGCATCCCTTCGGACACATTGCGATGCATTTTGCTTTGCTTGGCATCTTCTTTCCTTGACCCTGGGGTGGATAGATCATCTCACCAGTGCTGTGACTCTTCGATGAAGAGGCAGGACGTTTCAGCGCCAGTGCTTGTTTCTTCTTCATATTGGCAGCAAATGATTTGACCTTAGGCTTTGGCTCCACAGTGGTGCTTTTCTGCTCGGGCATCTGGCCGGCAGGTCGCTTCATGGCACCGGATGCACGCTGCAGTCGCTGCAAAGTGTCTGCCAAAGACACAGGTGGCACCGCTGTCGCCTCAGCCTCCTTCTCGCTCACCTCAATTGTCTCAGAAGACACCGCTTTCACATCACTGATGGGAGCGGCTGGCTCACACTGTGAAGATGGCAATCCGGTTCCGTCAGACTTCTCAACAGCAGCTGGAGGAGCTAAACTTGTCGCCGCTGCCGTAGGCTGCGCCGCCAGTGTCAGTGACTTGGCGGAAGCGGAGTGCCCTTCCAGCAGATTGACCAAAGCCTTGGGTGTCGAAGTTTGCTTCCTGCTCAATGGCAAGTTCATTGTAGAGGAACTGGAAGAATCCTGTCGACTCTCAGACATATACTGCATGAAACTCATGAAGCCAGCAAACATACCAAAGGGATTGTCAGCGGAGAAGGCCACGGCGTCGGTCGCACTCGTCTTTTTTGCCTTTCCTCTCTGTCGCAATGGGATTGTGCGTGCAACCATCAAAATTTCCGATAGCCGAATCCGTGGTGCCACACATTGAACCACGGCATCACTGTTTGCACCCGGTGGGAGATCACCGCGGTCAAGAGGCAGTTGGACAATGTAGTTCTCAGGCGGCACACGCCTATACTTGTAGCGAGCCAGGATGGACGCACCCTCTGCTTTGACCGTCGCTAAGAAGACCTCCACATTGTTCTGCATTTGCCGCCGTTTGTCGTCGGGTTCTCGCAAGAGAAGAAACGCTGTCAAGCTAGCATAGGTCGGTTCAGAGGGGCACCTCAGAGTGAAGTGATCAGCAAGCCATGTGACCACTGCTTGCAGGATCCGCATGTGATCCACTTCGGTCTGCATCACAAGTGTCCACGTAGGCTCCGGCAAGTAGAGCGCAAAGGCGGAGAAGTCCTGCATCTTCTGGCGAACATTGGTTGTTTCCGATGCTTTTCCTCTCAAAACGTCCTGCACCTTCTGCCTCTCTTCAGCATCCAAAGTGCTCAGTTCCAACTGACTTATCGCTTCAGCACATGAAGTGGCAGTTGGCTGCGTCACAGCGTCTGCCATATTGGTCGGATTTCTAGGAAAAAAAACTAGCAGCCAAAGTGCGGGACATGCTAGATCGTTCCGACCAACAACTACCATATATATATATATAAATTTTTATCGATGATAACATCAAGACGCCTTGACGTCTAGCAGGCAAGAACTCTAATATGCTATGTATACAGTAGCAGTTCTAGAACGGATCACCGTCTAGTTGGAGGTAATGACAATCGTAACACGGACGACCGTGTGTTTTAAGTTGGTTTCAGATAACGAGTGCATGCATGCAAGCTAATCTATAGACGGAAAACCATCTCTGGGAACTGTCAAGGACTCAAAACGTGGACTACCGTGTACTACGATGTTCTCTGCTAGACGGCGTCGATGCATGCAAGCCACAAAGACGGATTACCGTCTATAGTTGGATCACCAATTGCAATCCATCTGTAGATGCACTTGGTGCTGTTTGTGTCTATATATACATATATATATATATATGCGTCTCTTGGTCTGGCTTTCCAGTGCCTAATTCCGAGTTGTGGCACCATTTTTTCTTATTTTGCCAAAATAAAAATAATAGCGGAGCCACCGCCAAAGGAATGAAATAAAAGCGGAAACACCGCAGACAAACACCCGTTCATAAAAATAAGAGCGGAACAACCGCAAAATTCAAAGTAATTCTACAAGGTATAAATATAGGCTACCGCAATCACACAATAAATTTCACAAAAATTTCCAAAAATTTAAAACAAGAAGACAAAAAGTTATTTCAAACAATTTTTATCTGAAAAATAAAAAACTTTAAAAAAACATTCTTAAAAAAAAACAGCATAATTTCAATCAAAAAAATAACTTCGAAATAACTTCGACAAGCAAAAATTCAATGAAGTTATTTTAGATAAATAAATAACTTATAAAAACCATAACCAGCATTACTTAGTTATAAATTCCAACATACTTATCCTACTTAAAAAACATATATCTTATCTTAACCAGACTTATTCCTATTTATCTATGAACTTAAAGCAAGATATAATTAAAATAAGTTAAGCTAACTTCAGGGGCCCACTGCTGTACTGGAACGTGTTTGTGCGAGTTTTGTAGTATACGGTAGTACTGGAACGTGTTTGTGCGAGCTTTGCAGTATACGGTAGTACTGGAACGTGTTTGTGCGAGTTGTGTAGTATAAGGTAGTACTGGAACGTGTTTGTGCGAGTTTTGTAGTATATACTGGAACGTGTTTGTGCGAGTTTTGTAGTATACGGTAGTACTGGAACGTGTTTGTGCGAGTTTTGTAGTATGCGGTAGTACTGGAACGTGTTTGTGCGGGTTTTGTAGTATACGGTAGTACTGGAACGTGTTTTTGCGAGTTTTGTAGTATACGGTAGTACTGGAACGTGTTTGCGCGAGTTTTGTAGTACACGGTAGTACTGGAGCGACTTTGTGCGGGTTTTGTAGTATACGGTAGTACTGGAGCGACTTTGTGCGGGTTTTGTAGTATACGGTAGTACTGGAACGTGTTAGTGCAATCTTTGTAGTATACGGTAGTACTGGAACGTGTTTCTGCGAGTTTTGTAGTATACGGTAGTACTGGAACGTGTTTGCGTGAGTTTGTAGTATACGGTAGTACTGGAGCGACTTTGTGCGGGTTGTGTAGTATACGGTAGTACTGGAGCGACTTTGTGCGGGTTTTGTAGTATACGGTAGTACTGGAACGTGTTTGTGCGAGTTTTGTAGTATGCGGTAGTACTGGAACGTGTTTCTGCGAGTTTTGTAGTATACGGTAGTACTGAAACGTGTTTGTGCGCAAGCTTTGTAGTACACAGTAGTACTCGGAAGTAGTTTGTGCAAGCTTTGTAGTACACAGTAGTACTGGGAAGTACTTTGTGCAAGCTTCGTAGTATACAGTAGTACTGGAACGTGTTTGTGCAAGCTTTGTAGTACACAGTAGTACTGGGAGCGACTTTGTGCAAGCTTTGTAGTACACAGTAGTACTGGGAGCGACTTTGTGCAAGCTTTGTAGTACACAGTAGTACTGGGAAGTAGTTTGTGCAAACTTTGTGTCAAGTAACGAGTGCACAGTGTAAAGTGTGGAGTGGGGAGTGTAGAGCGTGTAGAGTGTGGAGTGTGTAGTGTAGAGTGTCAACTGTAAGAGTGTAAAGTGTAGGATGTGGAGTGTAAAGTGTAGAGTGTGGAGTGTAAAGTGTGGAGTGTGGAGTGTGAAGTGAGGCGTGTGGAATGTAAAGTGTGGAGTGAGGAGTGAGGAGTGTGGTGTGTGTAGAGTGTGGAGTGTGGAGTGTAGAGTGTAGAATGTGGTGGAGTGTGGCGTGTGGAGTGTAGTGTGTGGAGTGAGGAGTGAGGAGTGTGGAGTGTAAAGTGTTGAGTGTGGAGTGAGGAGTGAGGAGTGGAAAGTGTCGAGTGTGGAGTGTAGAGTGTAGAGTGTGGAGTGCAAAAGTGTCGAGTGTAGAGTGCAAAGTGTAGAGTGTGGAGTGTGAAGTGTGGAGTGTGGAGTGTGGAGTGTGAAGTGTAAAGTGTGGAGCGTAGAGTGTAAAGTGTAGAGTGTAAAGTGTCGAGTGTGGAGTGTAAAGTGTGGAGTGTGGAGTGTAAAGTAAGGAGTGTCAAGTGCAAAGTGTAAAGTGTGGAGTGAGGAGTGTAAAGTGTGGAGTGTAGAGTGTAGAGTGTGGAGTGCGGAGTCTGGAGTGGAAAGTGTCGAGTGTGGAGTGTAGAGTGTAAAGTGTGGAGTGTAAAGTGTGGAGTGTGGAGTGAGGAGTGTGGTTTCTGTAGAGTGTAGAGTGTGTTGGAGTGTGGAGTGTTGTTGAGTGTGGAGTGTGGAGTGTCGTGTGTGGAGTGTGCAATGAGAAGTGAGGAGTGTGGAGTGTAGAGTGTGGAGTGTAAAGTGTGGAGTGAGGAGTGTAAAGTGTAAAAGCGTGGAGAGTGCGGAGTGTAGAGTGCAAAGTGTAGAGTTTAAAGTGTAGAGTGTGGAGTGTAAAGTGTGGAGTGTGAAGTGTGGAGTGGGGAGTGTAAAGTGCAAAGTGTCAAGTGCGGAGTTTCAAGTGTAGAGTGTGGAGTGAGGAGTGTAAAGTGTAAAGTGTGGAGTGCGGAGTGTAAAGTGTAGAGTGTGGAGTGTACACTGTGAAGTGTAGAGTGTAGAGTGTGCAGTGGGTAAAGTGTGGAGTGTGGCAGGTGGTGGTGATCCCGTTGTGCTGGTGATGTTGTTGTGCTGGTGATGTTGTTGTGCTGATGATTTCGTTGTGCTGGTGATTTCGTTGTGCTAGTGATTTTTTTGTGTGCTTGTGATTTTGTTGCGCTGGTCGACTTTGTGCAAGCTTTGTTGTATTGTACACAGTAGTACTGGGAAGTAGTTTGTGCAAACTTTGTGAAAGTAAGGAGTGTGGAGTGTAAAGTGTGGAGTGGGGAGAGTAGCGTGTGTAAAGTGTGGAGTGTAAAGTGTAGAGTGTAAAGTGTAGAGTGTGGAGTGCGGGGTGTGGAGTGTGAAGTGGAAAGTGTAAAGTGTGGAGTGTGGAGTGCGGAGTGTAAAGTAAGGAGCGTGGAGTGTAAAGTGTTGCGTGTGGAGTGTGGAGTGGGGAGTGGGGAGTGAAGAGTGTTTCGTGTTTAGAGTGTAGAGTGTGGTGGAGTGTGGAGTGTGGAGTGTGGAGTGTGGAGTGTGGAGTGTAAAGTGTGGAGTGTGGAGTGTGGAGTGTGGAGTGTGGAGTGTGGAGTGTGGAGTGTGGAGTGTAGTGTGTGGAGTGAAGAGTGTGGAGTGTGAAACGTGTAAAGTGTGGAGTGTGGAGAGTGGAGTGTGCAGGGGGTAAAGTGTGGAGTGTGGAGTGTAAAGTGTAGAGTGTGAAGTGTGGAGTGTGGAGTGTAAAGTGTGTAGTGTAAAGTGTAGAGTGAGGAGTGTAAAGTGTGGAGTGTGGAGTGTGAAGTGTGGAGTGAGGAGTGTAAAGTGCAAAGTGCGAAGTTTAAAATGTGGACTCTGAAGTGTGGAGTGTGGAGTGTAAAGTGTAAAGTGTGGTGTGTAAAGTGTGGAGTCTGGAGTGTAAAGTGTAGAGTGTGGAGTGCGGATTGTCAAGTAAGGAGTGTGGAGTGTAAGGTGTGGCGTGTGGAGTGTAAAGTGTGGAGTGAGGAGTGTGGTGGGCGTAGAGTGTAGAGTGTGGTGGAGTGTAGAGTGTGGAGTGAGGAGTGAGGAGTGAGGAGTGTAAAGTGTAAAGTGCGGAGTGTGGAGTGTAGAGTGTAGAGTGCGGAGTGAGGACTGGAAAGTGTCGAGTGTGGAGTGTAGAGTGTAAAGTGTAGAGTGTAAAGAGTAAAGTGTAGAGTGTAGAGTGTGGAGATTGGAGTGTAGAGTGTGGAGTGTGGAGTGTAAAGTGTGCAGTGTGGAGTGTAAAGTGTGGAGTGAAGAGTGTAAAGTGGAGAGTGTAAAGTGTGGATTGTAAAGTGTGGAGTGAGGAGTGTAAAGTGTGGAGTATGGAGTGTGAAGTGTAAAGTGTGGAGTGTGGAGTGGAAAATGTCGAGTGTGGAGTTCAAAGTGTAAAGTGTAGAGTGTGGAGTGTGGAGTGGAAAGTGTCGAGTGTGGAGTGTGGAGTGTAGAGTGGAAAGTGTAAAGTGTGGAGTGTGGAGTGTAAAGTGTGGAGTGTAGAGTAAAGTGTAGAGTGTAAAGTGTAGAGTGTGGAGTGTAAAGTGTTGAGTGTTGAGTGTGGGGTGAGGAGTGGAAAGCGTAAAGTGTAAAGTGTGGGAAGTGCTTTGTGTCAGCTTTGTAGTACATAGTAGTACTGGGAAGTGCTTTGTGCCAGCTTAGTTATACAAAGTAGTACTGGGAAGTGTTTTCTGCAAGCTTTGTAGTACAAAGTAGTACTGGGAAGTGCTTGGTGCAAGCTTGTAGTACACAGTAGTACTGGGAGCGACTTTGTGCAAGCTTTGTCGTACAAAGTAGTACTGGAACGTGCGTTGTGCAAGCTTTGTAGTACACAGGAGTACTGGGAGCGACTTTGTGCAAGCTTTGTAGTGCACAGTCATATTTGGAAGTAGTTTGTGCAAACTTTGTGTAGAGTAAGGAGTGCCCAGTGTAAAGTGTGGAGTGCCGAGTGTAGAGTGTAAAGTGTAGAGTGTAAAGTGTAGAGTGTGGAGTGTGGATTGTGCTGTGTGCAGTGGGTAGAGTGTGGAGTCTGCAGTGTAAAGTGTGGAGTGTGAAGTGTAAAGTGTGGAGTGTAGAGTGTAAAGTGTAGAGTGTAAAGTGTCGAGTGTGGAGTGTAAAGTATGGAGTGTGGAGTGTAAAGAGAGGAGTGTCAAGTGCAAAGTGTAAAGTGGGGAGCGTGGAGTGTAAAGTGTGGAGTGTAGAGCGTGTAAAGTGTAGAGTGTGGAGTGCCGAGTGTAGAGTGTAAAGTGTAGAGTGTAGAGTGTGGAGTGTGCTGTGTGCAGTGGGTAGAGTGTGGAGTTGGCAGTGTAAAGTGCGGAGTGTAAAGTGTGGAGTGGGGAGTGTAAAGTGGAAAGTGTGGAGTGTAAAGTGTAGTGTGGAGTGTAAAGTGTAGTGTGGAGTGTAGAGTGTCAAGTGTAAAGTGTGGAGTGTCAAGTGTGAAGTGAGGGGTGTAAAGTGCAAAGTGTACAGTGTGGAGTGTGGAGTGTAAAGTGTAGAGTGTGGAGATTGGAATGGAAAGTGTCGAGTGTGGAGTGTAGAGTGTAAAATGTAGAGTGTAAAGTGTAGAGTGTGGAGTGTAAAGTGTGGAGTGTGGAGTGTGCAGTGGGTAAAGCGTGGAGTGTGGCTGGTGGTGGTGATCTCGTTGTGCTGGTGATGTTGTTGTGCTTGTTAGTTGTCTCTTTGTGAACTGTTGCTCAGGTGCGTTTGCTGAGACGATATGAGCGCACGATGCATGCAAAAATAAGTTCGTTTTCCTTTTGCAGAGGTTTGCACTCGTAGTCCAAGAACGTGAATACATTCGGGTTCGTGGCTTCCATCTTGTTTCTTATTATTTCATTGCATGTTGGCTGGTGCCGATGTTTCTTTCCGTTCTTAGTATTTTCTCTGTGATTTTACAGACAGTTGCTTGAGGAGCTTGAAGCAGAGGCCTTGCGGCTGCAGATCCAAATGCGTGACCGTGTGATTGAGGAGCACATGTGAAACGCCGGTGATCCATGTGGGGAGCTTCCACCAGATCTTCCTTCGATTTCCGTATCGTTTGAACATGTTTAAAGCATTTGCAAGTCTAGTGCCAGGAGCAGGATCAGCTGCTTCAGGCTGAGGGAAAGGCGGGTTTCATACATTTCAAAGACTCTTGCGTTCCTGTCATTAGCAAATGGCTGTGCCTCAGGCATTGCATCATTTCGCATTTATCCAGAACAAACATGTCAAACATTTTAAAAAAATGACGAAATAGGGACCCCATTTTGCCACGTTTGTGGAAATACAGGGAACATCATATATTTGTTTATCATTTTTATCAATATGTTGATAACATTTATCAAAGGAAGTTTAGGGGGAGAAACTTCCGTGTTACGGACTTTTAGAATGTCAGGGAAAGAGTTAGTCAAAGAAAGAGTTAGTCAGGGAAAGGTTAGTTAGGGAAAGAGTTCATCAGGGAAAGAGTTAGTCAAAGAAAGAGTTAGTCAGGGAAAGGTTAGTCAGGGAAAGAGTTAGTCAAAGAAAGAGTTAGTCAAAGAAAGAGTTAGTGAGGGAAAGAGTTAGTTAGGGAAAGAGTTCATCAGGGAAAGAGTTAGTCAAAGAAAGAGTTAGTGAGGGAAAGAGTTAGTTAGGGAAAGAGTTCATCAGGGAAAGATTTAGTCAAAGAAAGAGTTAGTGAGGGAAAGAGTTAGTTAGGGACAGAGTTAATTGTAACTTTTAGACTGTCAGGGAAAGAGCTAGTCAAAGGAAGAGTTAGTGAGGGAAATAGTTAGTTAGGGACAGAGTTAATTGTAACTTTTAGAATGTCAGGGAGAGAGTTAGTCAAAGAAAGAGTTAGAATGGCATTGCAAGTGGTGCTGGTGGAGGAGTTGCCGATGGAAGTTTGAAGGAAGTCTCGCACGAAATGCGTTGTTGAGAGATAGCAGATGCACGAAACCCTATGTTTTTCCATACAAAGTCCGTCCCCGAACCTCGATGATCTACCTCTGCGGTGCGACGGTTGCGAGACGGTCTCGTGTGTGGTCGGATCATGGGCGGATCATGCTCGGATCGGTTCCGCATTGTAAATGGGGTTTCACCTGTGTTTCGTGCATGTGCGGTCGACAGAATTCCATTGTGATTTGCAACTGTAGGATCGTTCCCGCAATGTAAATGGGATTGCAAGTGGTGCTGGTGGATGAGTTGCCGATGGAATTCCATTGTGATTTGCAACTGTAGGATCGTTCCCGCAATGTAAATGGGGTTGCAAGTGGTGCTGGTGGAGGAGTTGCCGATGGAGTTTTGAAGGAAGTCTGGCACGAAATGCGTTTTTGAGAGATAGCAGATGCACGAAACCCTATGTTTTTTCCATACAAAGTCCGTCCCCGAACCTCGATGATCTACCTCTGCGGTGCGACGGTTGCGAGACGGTCTCGTGTGTGGTCGGATCATGGGCGGATCATGCTCGGATCGGTTCCGCATTGTAAATGGGGTTTCAACTGTTTTTCGTGCATGTGTGGTCGACAGAATTCCATTGTGATTTGCGACTGTAGGATCGTTCCCGCATTGTAAATAGGGTTGCAAGTGGTGCTGGTGGATGAGTTGCTGATGGAATTCCATTGTGATTTGCAACTCTAGGATCGTTCCCTCACTGTAAATGGGATTGCAAGTGGCGCTGGTGGAGGAGTTGCCGATGGAGTTTTGCAGAAAGTCTCGCACGAAATGCGTTTTTGAGAGATAGCAGATGCACGAAAGCCTATGTTTTTCCATACAAAGTCCGTCCCCGAACGTCGATGATCTACCTCTGCGGTGCGACGGGTGCGAGACGGTCTCGTGTGTGGTCGGATCATTCTCGGAGATTCTCGGATCATTCTCGGATCGGTTCCGCATTGTAAATGGGGTTTCAACTGTTTTTCGTGCATGTGTGGTCGACAGAATTCCATTGTGATTTGCAACTGTAGGATTGTTCCCGCATTGTAAATGGGGTTGCAAGTGGTGCTGGCGGATGAGTTGCTGATGGAATTCCATTGAATCCATTGTGATTTGCAACTCTAGGATCGTTCCCTCACTGTAAATGGGATTGCAAGTGGTGCTGGTGGAGGAGTTGCCGATGGAATTCCATTGTGCTTTGCAACTGTAGGATCGTTCCCGCAGTGTAAATGGGATTGCAAGTGTTGCTTCCTCTTTTGGCTGCATGCGTAATACTATTGTCTTTTGCAGCTGGACTTCGTAAATCGTATTGGAGTGGCTGCATGAAGGCTGCGACAGTGATTTGTCAGCAGATTTTCTCCCTTTTGGCGCCAGCGATTTTCTTTTTAAAAATCCTTTAAAAAGTGCTTCAAAATCGTCTTTTTTTTTCGCTTTGGCGTCTATTGTCTTTTGCAGCTGGACTTCGTAAATCGTATTGGAGTGGCTGCATGAAGGCTGCATGAAGGCTGCGACAGTGATTTGTTAGCAGATTTTCTCCATTTTGGCGCTAGTGATTTTCCTTCTAAAAATCCTTTTAAAAAGTGCTTCAAAATCGTCTTTTTTTCGCTCTGACGTTGAGATCCATCCGGTTTTGGAGCTACAATTTCCGACGCCGTTGCGCGTAGTTCTATTGTGCTTTGCAACTCAGTCTCTGCAGATCGCATTGTAATGGCTGCGTCAAGGTTGCTTCGTGCTGTGGCTGCATTCGTAATACTATTGTCTTTTGCAGCTGGATCTCGGAAATCGTCTTGGAGTGGCTGCATGAAGGCTGCGAAATGGGTTTGTTAGCAGATTCTCTCCATTTTGGCACTAGTGTTTTTTTTGTTGGACGTACGTTTAGAGCAGTGTGAAGTGTGGGGCGTGAAGAGTGCAGTGTGAAGTGTGAAGTGTGAAGGAAGCAGTGAGAAGTGTGAAGTGTGGAGTGTGAAGTTTCAGTTTGGAGTGCGAAGAGCGCAGTGTGAAGTGTGAAGTGTGAGGTTTGGAGTGTGAAGGAAGCAGTGAGAAGTGAGAAATGAGAAGTGTGAAGTGTGAGTGAAGTGTGGGGTGTGAAGTGCGAAGTGTGAAGTTTGGAGTGTGAAGTTTGGAGTGGGAAGGAAGCAGTGAGAAGTGTGAAGTGTGGACTGTGAAGTGTGGAGTGTGAAGTGCGAAGTGAGAAGTGTGAAGTTTGGAGTGTGAAGGAAGCAGTGAGAAGTGTGGACTGTGAAGTGTGAAGTGTGAAGTGTGGACTGTGAAGTGTGGACTGTGAAGTGTGGACTGTGAAGTGTGGAGTGTGAAGTGCGAAGTGAGAAGTGTGAAGTTTGGAGTGTGAAGGAAGCAGTGAGAAGTGAGAAGTGTGAAGTGTGGACTGTGAAGTGTGAAGTGTGAGTGAAGTGTGGAGTGTGAAGTGCGAAGTGAGAAGTGTGAAGTGTGAAGTTTGGAGTGTGAAGTTTGGAGTGGGAAGGAAGCAGTGAGAAGTGAGAAGTGTGAAGTGAGAAGTGTGAAGTGTGGACTGTGCAGTGTGGAGTGCGAAGAGCGCAGTGTGAAGTGTGAAGTGTGAAGTGTGAGGTTTGGAGTGTGAAGGAAGCAGTGAGAAGTGAGAAGTGTGAAGTGTGGACTGTGAAGTGTGAGTGAAGTGTGGAGTGTGAAGTGCGAAGTGAGAAGTGTGAAGTGTGAAGTTTGGAGTGTGAAGTTTGGAGTCGGAAGGAAGCAGTGAGAAGTGAGAAGTGTGAAGTGTGGACTGTGAAGTGTGGAGTGTGAAGTGCGAAGTGAGAAGTGTGAAGTTTGGAGTGTGAAGGAAGCAGTGAGAAGTGAGAAGTGTGAAGTGAGAAGTGTGAAGTGAGAAGTGTGAAGTGTGGACTGTGAAGTGTGGAGTGTGAAGTGCGAAGTGAGAAGTGTGAAGTGTGAAGTTTGGAGTGTGAAGTTTGGAGTCGGAAGGAAGCAGTGAGAAGTGAGAAGTGTGAAATGTGGAGTGTGAAGTGTGAAGTGTGAAGTGCGAAGTGCGAAGTGAGAAGTGTGGACTGTGAAGTGTGAAGTGTGAAGTGTGGACTGTGAATTGTGAAGTGTGAAGTGTGGACTGTGAAGTGTGAAGTGTGCAGTGTGAAGTGTGAAGTGTGAGGTTTGAGGTTTGGAGTGGGAAGGAAGCAGTGAGAAGTGAGAAGTGAGAAGTGTGGAGTGTGAAGTGTGGAGTGTGAAGTTTGGAGTGCGAAGAGTGCAGTGTGCAGTGTGAGGTGTGGAGTGTCGAGGGAAGGACACGGTCGGGACAGGGTGTCTTTGAACTATAGGTCATTTATGTTTGGGAAACTTCCGCCGCCGGCTTGCCCGGGTCTATGTTAGTCATTCGCGCAATTAGGGCCATTTTCTTTCAAAGAACCTGAGCCGCTCGGGTTTGAGCTCCAGTCTTCCTGGAATTTCTCCATTCGATGCCAGGCACAGCTTGCAAAGCCTGATGGTTGGATAAACGTCCCAGCCGCTTGGCAGCGGTTTCTCAGACAGCAGGTACAATACTAGAGTTACTAGAGGTAGCAGGTAGTATTTTTGCTACTCTTATTATTCTTGCTCACAATAGAACAAAGGACCCGAACTTTGTGGGCAGGGTGCTGTCCAGCTTGTCTGCCAGCCTGTCTCCCCTCCATCATGGTCTTTGGCATCGTAGCCCAAAAACTGATGCGCGTTGTCCAATTTGTCTCCAAGCGACTCCAAGCTTGGTTTCCAAACATGTTCAGCCTCTCTTCTCTCATGGTGGCAGGGTGTTGTGTGCTATGTCTCCCAACTCGTTTTCAGCATTGTGCCCGAGATGGCGCTGTCTTGTCCCCAACCTTCACTCAGCGTATGTAATATTTTGCATGAATATCCATGAATGCATACCGCGCACAAGCGTACATACATGGAACCCCCGCTGACCCGTGTTGTGGAGTAACTGATCAAATAGAAGGCTATGCGTCGAAAACGGGGTTGTTCCTTCGGGTTCCAGGTGTACGTATATCACTGTGTCATATAATATTTGGCAGTAAAGGTGAAGAAAAGGGGCACAGGTACCTCCTTGAACATCCACAGATTTACAGTTGCCATTGAGGCGTCGGTATTTGTTCTTGAGGTACTCCGAGCCGTGTCCCCTTTTACTGTCACTACAATCCGACTGGTATGATGAAGGTGAACAATAGCTGAACAGCTGGAAACATTTGCCAGCTGCCAATGCCATCAATCACAGCAATTCTATCGGAATGCCAAAAGTAAGGAAGTGGAAGTCTTGGAGTTTTGAATGTATGTGACATGCTGCATCTCCAGTTGCCTGTTTCATTTTGTGCCTTCTCAGGCCAAGCTGACCCGTCGAGCGCCAAGTACTGTGAGATGGTTTGAGGAGGAGATACCGAGACTGGGATGACATGAGTCACAGATTCTTTCTCTGATTTCTCATCTAGGGCCTTCTAGGGGGCATATTTCTCTAGCTTTTGCCAAGTCACAGGCCCTATGTTGAGCCTGCACAAAGGCACATTAGGCTATTTCCTGAACCTCCGGAGTCTGTGGAAGCCGCTTTTTCCAGTGAGTGTATGTTGGGCCTGTTTGGGAGGTCCTTGCTCGTGTGACAGTATTGTCAGTATTGTGTATTGGATTTGGGCCATTTCAAAAGAGCCGCAAGACTGATGTGACTGATGTGTTGATTTGAGCAAATTCCTTCAGTAAAAGCCACAGGGTACAGAACTTGTAAGGTATAGATACGGTATAGCTATTGCGCTGGCACCATGCCTTTCTACCCATTTTATCCATTTCTATCCCTTCCTATCCCTTTCTATCAAATCTCATTCAGCCACTGCAAAGCCTCTAGACATCGACATCTCTAGACTCTCGGGTTCGATTGGAGGACGATCTCGGCTTGGCCGAAGAACGTGACTCACCTCTCGCAAGGCCAAACCCTCAGCAGTTCCAACTTGTCAAGTTTCAACGTGATTTGCCAAAAATGCTTTACGAGTTGGCGATTTATCAAGTGAGGGGAGGAAAGAGCACTTGTGAAACGCAAAATCATGATGTCGTTGGTGGAACCGTGAGTAGTCTCTACATGTTTTATTTCTTTCAGCGTAGTTACTTGCCATGAACACATAGAGCGGCCGGTCACCTTTTCTGCTCAACATCTTGTAGGCAGAGCCACAGTGCCTAGATTTCAGCCATTTTGAATTACTGTGGAAAATCATGTTCTGAGAAGTCAAGCACATCCAGCAAGACTTTCATTCCAAGAGACGGAGGCATGACTACCTTGCAAGGGGGATGAATCACTGTAGGTAGCCAAAATCCAAATCATTGACATTTGTAAAACAAGCACCGATGCAACAACACTCTTTGCCATGCTTTGCTGAAAGATACGCAGTGATGACAGATGGTTCGCAGATGCCTCGTGCGATGCGCTTGCTAGCGAATGGTGGCAGATAGTGAGTCGCTGGCAGCTACTTCTTATTGCATTTATTTGGCTGGGAACATAGTTGTTGACTGGCATTCCTTTGCCACATTGTTCAGATTTTATTATGGAAGGCCGCCGTGTGAGTCGGTTACTATGTTTGTCAAATTTTGCCAGCATTTCGCTGAGGTCCTACTTTCGATTTCGTTCTTCTTTGCATACTGCTTAGCAACTCGATGCCGTTCCTGCATCTACCTCTCAGAAGCTGGAATGTCTTTGTTGGTTGGATTTGTTGGTGGAGGCAAGTAACCTTGGGTGATAGCTTGAAAGCGCACATGGAGACATGTGACAGAAGTCATGTATCGAGAGAGAGGGACTCTAGAGGAACTGCGAAAGAGTCTTGAGTTTGAGACGGAGGCTTGCTAACGTTGCTTGTGCGTGAGGATGCAAGTAACTTGGCATGGCAAAGGTGCAACCGTTGTGCAACCAAATCGCGATGTTTAGAAGGCTTTGGATCACCTTTTTGAACCGAGAAAATTTCGAAGCTTGGCTTCCCAGGTGACCGCTTCTCGGAGAAGGAGGTTAGACAGTCTGTGGTCGGCTTTTCATCCACGGTGCGCTGCAACTTGCGAATCCCTACTTTGCCTATCTTTGCCTTTCGTTTATCGTGGTGAGCGGTTTTGACAGTTTGAGCAGTCTCGTGGAGGTTTTTCTTAAAAACGTTCCAAGAGAGACTGGGGATCAAACTGCCACACCGTTCCCGAAGGTGCTGTTCTGTGTCTTATTGCCTCCCATCATATTTGATTCTGGGTTTCGGATGCGTGGGGCTTTCTTTTGGGCTTGGCCCTCAACAGAGCACCAGCACCAGCAATGCATGACTTGTGCCGTTTTTTAATCGGTTTTTGCAATGTTTGATTGATACTTTTACTGCATGGCTGCCAATTCTGCCTCACCTGCGGCTCATTCACTCAGGCAAATATCGACAAGATCATGGTTTTAGCTTTTGCGGGTACTTTCCTGTCCTCCCTTGTGGTCGGGTTTTTGCTGGCAGCCTGTCTATACATTCATTGCTCTTGGCAAAGGGTGCTTGATTTCTCTTCAAAGCACGCCTCACGCACACACACACACACACATACACACACACACACACCCACACCCACCCACCCCAACCACACACCCCCCCCAACGACCCCCCCACCACGCACGAACAAGCAGCCCGCAAGCACGCACGCACGCCCGCCAGCCGCACGCACGCCCGCGCACCGCCCGCTCCGCCCGCCCGCCACGCCCGCCGCCCGCACGCCCGCCCGCACGCGCCGCAACGCACGGCACGCAACGCGGCAAGCACGGGAACGCAGCACCGGCACGGCACGGCGGCACGGCACGGAACGGCACGGCACGCACGCGGCACGGCGGGCAAGGCACGGCACGGCGGCACGGCACCGCACGGCACCGCACGGCACCGCACGGCAACCGCACGGCACCGCACACCGCACGGCACGCACGGAACACGCACGGCACAGCACGGCACAGCACGGCACAGCACGGCAGAGCACGGGACAGCACGGCACAGCACGGCACAGCACGGCACAGCACGGCACAGCACGGCACAGCACGGCACCGCACCGCACCGCACCGCACCGCACCGCACAGCACAGCACCGCACGCCACAGCACAGCACAGCACAGCACAGCACCGCACAGCACCGCACAGCACCGCACAGCACAGCACCGCACCGCACCGCACAGCACCGCACCGCACAGCACAGCACAGCACCGCACAGCACAGCACAGCACAGCACCGCACAGCACCGCACAGCACAGCACCGCACCGCACAGCACCGCACCGCACAGCACAGCACAGCACAGCACAGCACAGCTCAGAATGACCTTTTCAAAAAGGCTTGGGGGTTTGACTGCATTTTTGAGGTCGCCGTGTCTGGTTTGCTGCCGTTTGCCCCAGATGCCCCTGGCGGTCCGACGACGATCTCTTTGCCAGAGGTGCAAACTCTGAGTGAAATCCTACGGCTTAAGTCAGAAGCAATCAGCAGGCTTCTTGATTCCAATCTGCCAGCTTGGTAATAGTAGCACCATTCGTTGGGATTTCCTCCATAGATTCTTGGCAGGTTTGCAATTCACAATTTCTCTTTGGTGCCAGCCTGAAGTGCAAGGGTTGAAATGTGAATTTCGATATTGTCTCCAACATTTTCATGCAGTGCGGTCTGTGTTTGTCCCTTTGTTGGATCGGGCACGCAAAGGCCATGACCATGATCGGTTGCAAGCTATTTTTCTCTGTCATTTTAGGTGTATTTGGTGAACTGAACTACTTGAGCGGTGCTCTATCATTACTTTCTTGTTTGGTTGATAGGGGTTGCCATGGTTGCCATATGCGATACTACTTTATGCGTGCCATTAAATAGCAATATAATATAGCTATGAACAAACTTGTGTTTCAATTTTGTGCTACACGAAAAGACAACATTTTGTTTAGTCAAAAAGCGCCCATCAGGCCTTGAGCTTTGGGGCTTTGATTTCAGCGACAGACCCAGTGACAACGCTGGCTATCTTTGAGCAATTACAGGCCATGAGATTAGCTCCACAGGACTGGAGCCGACGTAGATTCGGCATCTTGTGACTGAAGCTGTTGCTTGTTTGCCAACCTGGGTCAGCAATCAGAGCCAGGCCCCTGTGTGTTTTGCCTTGGAAAGGTAGACCCGCACCTCTTCAACGTTGTGTTTGGTGCCGTGGTTAGAGAAAATTGTCAGTTCTCAATCATGGCAAATCCTGGGATTGGGAAGGCTGTCAGACCCCATTCATTCTTGATGGTAATTCTACTACCTGTATCTAAGGTGAGAGTGTTCTAAACGATGCAGTGTCCATCGTGCTCTTCCATTCATTTTCCAAAGCAATTGGCGTGGAAGAGAAGAACGGCTTTGCGAGTGTACTGCGAATCTCGTTGACAGATTCATCGAACACGAGAAACACGCCACTGTTGATTTGTCTTGAGAGTCACTCATTCACTCACCAACAGGAATGATCCTGGACTTTGTGATAATTTTTGTCGGCTCAGCGGTCATTGGTGCTTCCTTGGGGTGCTTCTCAGCCTTGCTCTTCAAGCCGCGAGCTCATCATTTCCAAAAGACCAGAATGGCAAAAAAGTGAATCTCAACAACTTGTGAGCTTAATTTTGACATGGTTTGATTTGCACGTCCTGTGGCATGAAGCTCATCTGAGACCTGCAGGTATGCTGAACTTCCAGGCCACACGGAAGCACACGGCCCAAAGTTAGAGCTGGCAATTTTTCTGGTGTCTTGGCAAGACTTTTTGTGGGACTTCATATATGTGGGGAACTTTCAATGTACTTCTCGTCTTGCCTCCACGGGCCCTCTTTCAGCTGTCCAAAAAAAGGAGTGGCAGTCTTTCTGCATCTTGTGCATGCTCTTTACAGCCAAATGCACACTGTCACTATTTCTTGTCCTCGCATTATTCCTTACTTTTCTTATTTTTGCGAACTCACACCTCTTCAAAAAAGGAGTCTGATTCTCACCATGCACTGGTTGAGTGAGTCCACCTCCTTTGTATGTAGGTCTTTTGCTATGCCCCATTCCTGCTGGCGGATGGTGCTGGTCTGAGTGGCATTGTGGCTATCCTCTTCACCGGCCTAACGATGAAGCGGTGGCTTGATTTCAAAATAGTTTGTTCAGCGGTACGAAAGAGTCCCAATTTTTCATTGAGGTTGCAACCCCTCTGCAGTTTTTTCCCTTTGTGATTTCATTACCTTGCACTTGAGGGCAGCATGCGTACCTTCATGTTTCCTATGTTTTTGACGACGCTGAAGGTATACCTTCAACAATCTCTCTGAAGCGGCAAGAGAGGCAGTCACCACAATAGTGTCGCTGATGGCAAGCTGCGGGGAGATGCGGTCTTAGCAAAAAGCAGACATGTCTGCAACCCCTTCGAGCATGATTTGTGATGTAGCCACAGTATCGTAACAAGCCAGTGCGCCTGTTGCAGTGAAGTGCCCGCAGATCATTGATGTTCATTTCTTTCTGAACCAAGGACCCTAATTTTCATTGACCTTGGCACCTCAGCGTGGGGAAGCCTTCGTGCTGACATCAGGCAACAAATGGGCCTAAGCACAATGGTACCTGAACCTGATTGCAAGTTCCTTTCACCCTTGCGTTTCAGTCATGACTCATGACAGTCTACGTTGTCCGTCATATAGAAATCCAAGTTGTTTCCACGCAAATCGACCTTTTACTTGAAGGCTTGTGGCCTGGGTCATGTTCTCATGCCTAATCGGACGAGCTGTGAATGTCTACTCTGCCGGATGGATTCTGATCCTGGGATGCCAAACAAAGGGGCGACTAGTATGATGTAAGTTGTAAGTGCCTTTGTTTGCATGTAAATGCAAAAAAAGCAAACCCAAACCCGTGGGTTTTGCGACACTGAGCAGAGAGTACATTTGAGATTTTGAACCTAAGCCAGGCCCTTCGGCTGTAGAGGATTACTCCGTGCGTTTCGTCTAGGAACTATGTAGGAGAGGACATGTGTAGGGCATGTGGCTTTTGACAGTCACTGTAGCTGGTTCTAGCAGTGGTTCTTTTGCACGCCTGGCAACCAGCAGATACCAGCAGGAGCCTAAGTCATCTAAGTCTGTAAGCCGCCAAGGAATTCCACACAGCCCACCTACCCACGGCGTCCATTCGAGACCAATGACATGCATATGGTGGCTTGCCTTGACTTGCCTTGGCTCCTGAGGTCAGGGCAATCTGAAATCACTTTGTGCATCCGCTGTCCTTGTCTTTGCTTTTCATGATACTTTTCATACTTTCCCTTGAGCTTCCCCGTTTTGTATTCTTTTGCACGGGCTTGAACTTTTTGAACGTTTTGAACTTTTTGAACGTTTTGATTTTTTTGGACTTGGTCACCTTGGTCATGTGCGGCAGCGGGGGCGCTGGCTGCACCTAGAGCGAAGATGATGGTCACCTTGGTCGTTCCTTTGATGGTCTTTTTCATTTTTCCTCTTTCTCTTCCTAAGTCGTGTTTGCGTCTTACCAAGGTGTGGTTCGCAGGTCTCCGCGGAGCCATCGCATTTGCTCTATCCACACAATTCCAAGGGCCTCATCGGCAATGCGCTATGGCCATGGCCACGTGGGTGGTCCCTTCTGCGGCAAATGAATCAAGATGTGCTCACAACTTTTAGTCCATTCCCACATATATGTATATATATCCATATATTTATATATATATATACATACAATGTATATCATCAAATCTAGACTCTGATGACTCTGGACAAAGAATACAAAGACTTGAATTTCAAGCACAATTCAGTAAGGTATCCAAGTCTTGTCGCTTTTAGAACTTCATGTTGAGATTTCCAGGCTGCAAGAAGTGACTGGCAACCTGTACAGAAGATTACAGAAGCTGATTCCCAGTTATGTTTGGATGGTCTCTTTGAATTGCTCTTCTCGTATTTTGATAGTTCTCTGTTGCTTGAGACCTTGGTTTGGAAGGTCTTGATTTTTTTTATGAGATAATTTTGAGTGATATTAGGAAAAGATGCAATACATGTATTCCAGATGTAGCTTCCAGATGGGTTTTCTTTGAGGTTTTGATCTCTGTGTGGCTTCTTGGTGGTGCCACAGCCCCTTTGTTGTCTTGGCTTCGCATCCGTAAGTGCGAGCCAGAGCAATTGAAGCAGTTGGCCCTCACCTTGGAGCCGGCCGGAGCCTGAAGAGATGTGGGCGTTTCTCAGACCTTTTGAATATTTTTTCACTCAGTCCAACAGAAGAAATGGAAAGAAATTCTGAGGCCGTGGTCAAAAGATGTCACGATGGTAGACTTATCTTTCACTATAATGTGGTTCTCCGGTTGGATGAGTATCCGTTGAAACGTGGCCCTTGAACGTTCAAAACACTTTACTTGCTCTGGGTATCTCTGGGTGTGGTATTGCCTCTTTTCACTTTGTGTTGACCCTTCTTTTCTTGCCACCACTTCCCCTCTGCAAATCTGACAGGCTGTCAAGCGCCTGATGCTGCTTGGCGACAAGAGTTTGATAGTTTGATCTTGTCATTCCAGTGTTGAAGAACAGGGGCATATTTCTGGATTTGTTAGAGCTTTCCATACTGTCTCTTCCTTTTTGCCATTTGCGGTCCTCCTTGTCTAAGATGTTTCATTGTATTGGCTGGAGTCCAATGCCAGCATGTCCGGAGGATCGTGCGGTGGGACAAAAAGTATTTGAGCCCGTGGCTCCTTCGCTCTGCGTCACCTCCAACTTCTCCACGTCGAGATGTTGAAATTCAGGACAAGTGATGACAAGTGACCCAGGGAGTACTCTGTGACTCTCTGTGCTCGCAGCATGCACTGAAGACACAATGAGCCTCTGATTTCCAGCGCTTTTTACGACAAAATCCTTTCCAGCTCATACGTTACATGTCTTTGCATTTCGCCATAGTCGGGAGCCCTCTCCTGCGTTTGACAAGCACAATCGAGAGGAGAAGATGAGTCCATATTAGCATATATTAGCGATGTGATATACGGTGTGTCACAAATTGTGATGTGAAGTCTGAACCGGGAGAGTCTTTTTCGGGGAGAAAACAGCATGGTACCAGTAATTGAAAAGCAACGGCCGAAACGGTAGAATCCCAGTTTTTGTGCAGTGAAAGTTGAGTCTCTCATGAGACATTCCAAAGCATTCATGTTGTTAATAAGTTTCTCCAGCAATCACCAGGAGGAAAATGCTGGGAGTGATGATGCACGGACAGTGCGAATGAAGACATCCTACACTAGCTGTGAGTGCTGAGCCCAGCCTATGTGCCCATGCAAACCCCGCACACACACACACACGCATAGATAGAGAGGTGCACCTGTCAGGATTGGTATGCCCATTCTGAGGTTACAAGACATCAGCCATAGCCCGCCTGGAGAGCCAGAGCAAGAGTCAGGCGCAAGATTCAGATTCTTTTCCCAGCTGTAAGCAATAGAGGCTCTTACTCTTACTTCTCATATCTTCTCATAGAAGTAAGGGAGCCTGGCGAGCCTGAACTTCGGAGCTTGTGTGCTGTTCAGCGTGAAGTTTGTCTCCCTGGGGTTGTGTTCCTGCCATCTTGCCTCTCCCAGCATAGTGACCCGAAGTCTGGCACTGGGCTATTTTGTAAAAAGCATCTTGAAGCATTTTGTGAAAACTGTTTGAGTACTCGTTTCCTTCTCGTTTTGTCTCCAGCATGGTGGCCCAAAGCTTGGCATGTGGTGCTGTTTTGTCTCATGTATGTCTCCCAGCATGCACACAAAAAGTAGTTTTCTTGCAAAAACAAATGAACAGAGATGAACAGGGAAAGGAAACTGCCTCCACTGTTGCTATCCTGGGTCACCCCTTTGTGTTTCTGCTCGTTTCAAACCATTGAGTGCTGGGAAGATTTGAAGTGGAAGTGCTTCTTGCCGCGTGTCAGTCAATTTTTTCTGAAAGGTGGTCCTCCGCATGCCTCTCCTCTATTGATGACCAGGGATGCTGGAGATGAGGCAGAGTAGCAAGAGTTGCAGGAGTTGCAAGGGTTGCGCTATGCAAGGCAATCAGGACCAGGACAAGAGCTCTGAAGAACAACTTCAGAATGGGCCGTGCTTGCAGCAAAGTCACTGCATGCCAATACCTGTCAATACGCTTTAGCAAATGTACATAGTCAAGAATACTTGGACTCGGCTGGATTGCAGCATCGACAAAAGCGAATTGGCAAAGCAGCAGGAATCTCCCAAGAGTTGAAAAGCATCAAGTCAGAAGCCATGGCTCCCCGAAAGTGTAGCAGGAAATGTTAATCCTGACGCGCTGCGAGAAGCGGATCGCTTTTCAGTATATGGGATTCTCACAGTTTCAAGCTTTGAGATGTTTCAATGTCAATGCAAAGCGAGTGCAGACACAACTGTATGTTCACATATGTTCACAAACGTCGCAAGAGGTGACCCTGATTTATGTGTGCGATTGTATCAGTGTGTGCAAAAAGATATGATCCAGCCCAAGCCCTGAAACAACCAAAAGCTAGGAGTGTGGAGGGCGTTACCGTTAAATGTGAATCTGAGGCGGAGACACGGAAGTGGTCGTGGATATGGTGAGGAACGCAGCTCTGCATTCTTTCTGTGTAGGTGTAGGCTGTGTAGGCTGTGTAGGCTGTGTAGGCTGTGTAGGCTGTGTAGGCTGTGTAGACAGCATTCATTGTGCTTTCGCAGCTTTCTTCTTACTTTGCATGGCCTTTGCTGCACTTAGGTGCTCTTGGCTTCGGCAACGACCCGCCCAACAGAGAACTTCCGTGCTTGCTTCAGTCTTGTGATGATTTTACAAGTGTAGACTTGAGGCAAATTCAGGGAAGGGTTTGAGGAGAGCTGCAGATATTGAAGCACGAGCCTAATCATGGAATATTTGGCAAACATTCTCTGCTTGTAATCAGGCTTGTAGTAATTGTGATATTTGCCAAACTTGGTGAGGTCTGTTGGCATTGGTGGCCGACTGCGCTCTGCGTCTGAGGGTCCACCCTTGTGTGTATGCTCAGAGAAATCAGAGGCCTTCGAAGACACAACGCACTGATACTGATGTGTACAAAAACAACAAAAGGCTTCCCTGACATCACATAGGTGACAGGATCAGAATGTCGGCCAACTTTCAGCCCGGCTACGTAATACTTGGAGGAGTGCTGTTATTTCGTATGACACGTCTGTCAAGCGTGGAGCTTGAATTAAGAAGATGGCCAGAGTATGCCAGAGTCAATGCTGTTGCCTCAATTAGAACCGGGGCAACAATTCGATCAATTCAAACTCTGAACTCTACATGTGTTTGCATTCCTGCTTGGACTGTTGAGCTCCTTGGAAAGTCTTTGCAGCACTCAGAAGCCCAGGCCTGAGCCACCCTCAGCCCGCGAACGGGTGTGCGGTGCTTGGACACCTGAGAGTCACTTGAGCAGAGCAATTTTAGCTGTGAACTCCGTGAGTTTAGACACGGGAGCAAACACTCACTTTTCCCTTTCAATCACCTGAAGCAGCCAGCCGCAAGCTGTGACCGCTTGATGCGAGGCCAGACAGAGGACGGAACAAGTCAGGCCTTGGCCAGTGTGTGCTGGGCAACTGCCAAACCAGGAAAATTTGGCTAACAAACTCGGCACAGCGCAGTAGCCGTCGAGAGGGCGGTTGTGGCTGGGAGACAATATGACCTTTAAGACTTGTGCACTTTTTGGAGTTTGGCCAAGCACAACTAAGCCAAGCATCCCTCATTTTTGCAAGTGCCAGTGCGCACTGAATAAGTTCTACCTCTATTGGCGAGCAGTATGTTTTTGATGGGAATCGTTGGAATGCTAAGCTCTAAGACAAGTCATCCTTGTGAGTCAATGATTCATGAATTCACATGATACCCCAATTCTTCGACGGCAGGTTTGAACATGTTTGAAATGCAACTTTTGAGGTTTGAATGTTTTGTGCTTTGCCTCGCAGGGGGCACACCACCTGCGTCCAACAGCATGTCAAGTGCCGAGTTTGTCGAGGCGATGTGTGGCTTTGCATATCTTAGGGTCGTACTAGCCGTTGCTAGCGGGGTACTAGACCACAGCATCCTCTAAGAGGAAAGGGGTTCTGACTTTGGGTCTGAGAGCAGAACTCTGCGCTCCGATTTCAAGAACTGCAGCACTGTGATGTGACTCGTCTGTGGCACAGGCTCGACCACTTGATGTGGCTGGCAGGGGTTTGGGCCCTCCCAGGTGCGCAAGATGGAAGTGTGGATTGTTCGTGGAAGTGCACGTGTTCATGACGTGTCGAAGTTTCAGCTACTAGGGTTCAATTGCCCTCCCTGGTACACAATCAGACGAGGGCAATACCATTGCGGAGACTCTTGTGAAAGGTCAGGTTTGGACATATCCGGTTCGTGGGGCCAAACAAGGAGCCTAGAAGGGAGGATGATGATTTCAGCTCAGCTGCGATTCTGAATTCTTCCGTAGAATTTTATACTACCTCCCTGGCTGTGCCTTGAAATGACTCTGTGTCATGAGTGCCATCGTTTGTTCCTCTCGTCCTCACGTCAGTTTGGGCAGGAGTGAACGGGTAGGGCCATGGGCGCAGGGGTGTCCAGGTTGATGGCTGGGTCCGTTTCCCGATTCAGTTCAGCACGGATCATCAGCGGAGCACCCACATTCAAACGGAGCCCATCCCCGTCATCATGCTCTTCACCCCTTCTTTCCCAATGTTGCTCTTGTGCTTCTTAACTTCCGTTTCTCGTGACTTGCTCTTGCGATGAATTCTTGGACATCTCTGAAAGCATACACAGTTATACACACCATATCAGGCACATTTGTCACAAGGTTCAGGCAAATTGGTCACAAGGTTCGTCACAGTCTTGATCAGTGAACTGGAGCCTTGCAACTAGGAATCTAGTGCACGGAGTTTTCACGCCCACTCGCAAATGCTTCCTGGGCTCATGTTCATAGCAGGCCTGCTGCCAATGTGGAAGAGAAAGAGGTCAGAAGCACAGATCAAATTTGTTGAAGGAGAGCTGTTTTGCTGATATTTTGGCGATGTTCTTTGAAGGGGAACCACCAGGAAGGACATCACAGCTGTTACCGTCAGAGCGTTCTCTCTCTCTCTCTCTTTATATATTTATATATATATAGACGTATAATAGATACATATATATTATATACACATATGTATACATATATATATATACATACACATATGTATACATATATATATATACACACATATATACATATAAACATATATACTGTATATACACATATACATATATGTAAATAGCTCCATAGTATATAATTATGTACATTACATACATGTATATCTAGCATATATATACATATATATGTATGTACATACATACACACATATATATATATATATACATACATATATACATACTCGTATATATATATGTATATATTTACATACATACATACATACATACATACACATACATACATACATACATACATACATACATACATACATACATACACATATATATATATATACATACATACATACATATATATATATATATATTATACAATATATATATATACATATATACATATATACACGCATATATATATACATATATATATGTATGTATGTATGTATATATATACATATATATATATGTATATATATATATGTATATACATATATATATATGTATGTATGTATGTATATATATATACATATATATATGTATATATATACATACATATATATATATGTATATATACATACATATATATATACATATACATATGTATGTAATATATATATATATATATATATTAATGTATGTATGTATACATAGGTGTATATATATATATATATGTACATATTTATACTTACATATTGCAACTGATCACGACTATGAGGTCACACAGCATGTCACAGACATGTGAACATGCAAGGGCATGACTGCAGCCCTTTTGAGCTCACATGAAAGGGAGCCCGCTCCGTGAGGTTCTTCCCTCACGCGCAGTGGACGCTGAAGGCTCCGCAGGGGACAGCAAGGGGACAGAATTTCAAAGGTTGAAACTTGAAATTTGCCAATCGGGCCAGCGACTTGAGCCTGCAATAAGCCATGAATCTAGATGGTTTCACAGCACTGGCGGCGTAGCAATGGTGTTCTTTGGAAAGTTGACATTCCACACTCCTGTTGGGAGTTTCGCTATTATATGCAACTACGCATAAGACGCCTAGCCAAATTCTAAATTGGAGAAAAATTGTACCCCATTCTGTGCCCTTACTTTGGTGGATGTGATCTCTTGCCATGATACCTTGAGGTGACTATTTGGACGCACGCCTACCTGTAGTGGAGGCGGAAGTGCTGAGCCTCTTCCTGGGTCATTCTGGCAGCTCAAAGTTGCAGTACTAAAGCTGACTTAAGCAATTAGTAGAGGGGCTGAAGTTCTGTGGACTAAATCGTAGGTGTCGTAGAAAGGAGGCGAAGAGAACAACTCTTTTGTGCTCTGCCACGTTTGTATCTTACTGATCTTGCTGGCAAATAGGGGGCATCAAGACCAACTCCCATGTGCAGCATTTTGCATGTTGTCTCCAGTGGGTGTCCGTGCCCAGGGTCAAAACCTTATGGGTGCACTGAATGGCTGGGACCCGGTTCCCACGCGCAGTCCTGGACGGACTTGCCAGGCCTTCGGTCTTAAGCGTGAATACTTTTATAATTCTTTTGTATTGGATCTTGTTCCTGTGGCCATATGGCCGTTTCTATGATTTTGCCTAGCCGCTTTTACCGTGCTTCCCTGTACTCCATCGGGGGGCAAGCTTTTGCATGTGGGCGGGTTACCTTTCATTGTCCTTGCCTGTCTCGGACGCACCTTTCGTCATGCAGTTTCCCAAAGGGGGGGTCCCTCCTTGATCGTTTGATTTCTTTGTTTGTCAGCATCATCTCGATCCAACGATTCCATCTGGTTTCCTAAACTTTATTGCAGCCGGTTTCTGGTTTGGATTGTGCTGCGTTTGATTGGGGCTCACATGTTATGTTCGATTTTTCAAGGTCTTGGAAAAGACATTGCTCCTGATGTCACCAGAAGGCACTGGGTTCTTGCAATTTGCGCGTTTGGAAGACTTCCAGACAGGAGAAGAACAACAGTACACGTCAGAAACAATTGTGTCCTTGTGTGTTCATGGCCTTCAGACTACAGTACACAGATGCACGGAGAGACACCCGCACAAAATTACCAAAAGGATTGAAAGAAGGCCTGTAGACACATGTATTTACACATGTCTTCACGACAAAATATAAACACACGTCACACAAGATAGTATGAATAAAACTCGGAAGCTTTTGTCCCTGTCCCGACAGCCAGGCCTGCGCGGGGGCGCACTGGTCGAAAGCGGCAACCCAAAGTCCGATCGCAAGCTTTTGTTGCGTTTCGTTGAGATGGCCCCCCAAAGTCCATGAGTTATTCATGTCAACGCAAGCAAGTTGTGACTAATTGTCTTGGCACATGGGCACTCAAAATTGACCAAGACAATCAAGACAGCTCAGGCTGATCGAGACATGGAACGGCCTTTGCAGCTACAGGTGGAGGCTTGTTGGAGTGATCAGGCATTGTGTACATGATTCACCGGAAGCCGTTGTATGAATTTCCGGAAACTCTGCATGTATGCTTCTTATGCACTGCTGGACTGATCATGCGCTGTCTTTTTTCCTTGATTAGCGCATGAAGCGGCTGTGCATGGGCCCTAGGCCTCGGGTCTACGGAAAGAACCAGGACCAGAGGACAGCCAAGGCACTCTGCAAGAAAAATATTCAAATAGGAGTCAGATACACTCAGAGACATCATGCAATTAATGGATATTAATGGCGTGTTCATTGCTTCAGTCGTGACACCGTGGGAGTGGTCCAGGCTCCGGTTCAGAACGTGAACATGCAAGCTCTGCATCGTTTGCTGCCGAGTTCATTTCGAACCAGTTGTGGTACAGAATTGTGGCATTCCTGGTGAGAATATGATCAGTATCACATCCATATGTATTGACTTGAGGCACTTTCGAGTTGAATGACTGTGTGAAGAGACCAGAGTGAAGCATTTGACAGCTCTCATGCTGCTCTGCGTCTTCGAAACCCAACAGCTAGCGTGCACATGAGGCCACATCCAGTTGTCAAGGATGTTTGGAGCTCAGCCGAAATGTCGCTGTATGATGCTGTATGATGCTGTATGATGCTGTATGATGCTGTATGACTGATGCTGTATGGCCTGTTGTTTTTTCCAGACGTTTTCAATGGATCTAAGTGGCACATGGCCGCAGTGTACCAGAAAACATAACGGCATAGCAGAGAAAAAAAATAGCAAATGTACAGCACACAAAAATGCTCAGGTTGCAGCTGAGCGGCGAGGCGTTTCTTTTGTATCGTAGTGCTACGGCAAGCGGAGCAGCAAACATGGAAGATATGTATAGATATGTAAGAGAAACGGAAGAAGAACATCGAAACACATGATTTTTCAAACTCTTCTAGACTGCTTCGTCACTTTGCTTTTTGGAATGCCGGAGTTATTTGTGGTCCATAGTCATGTCTGCAAATTTGTCATTCCAACGATTTTGTTTACTGAATCCAGTTGTTCAAGAGGTCGAGGAGATCAAGGTTTTAGCGAACTTGCTGTTCGCTTGGAGGCCTGCTTTCAAAGCTCAACAAGCGGATGAAATCAGGGGAGAATGCGCTTGCCTTAAACCGTCGTGCATGGAAATTGAGACGTCAAACCCGTCAAGCAAAGAGTCTCTTACTGTTACTGCAGCCAAGCGTTGCACGCTTCTGGATTGGGAGTCTGAAGACTGCAACCGAATGATTGAGCTCGAGCATTTGAGGCATGCAGTGATGTTTATCTCTTGATTGGTTTTGTGATTTTTGACATGCGACGGAGTACGGAAAAATATGTTCCAAGGGAACTAAGGGAAGTCCCTATGTTGGCTGCTGGCTCAAAAAACTGAGGCCAGGCACATGTACTGAAAGCATCTGAAAGCATCTGAAAGCCGTCACCGTCAATGCAGGGAGCATCCACGTTCTGTGGAAGCTCCACTCCGCAGATGGACTTGCTCTGTGACTCTGTGACTGTGGTTTGAGAATGCCTAAAGAATGCCTAAAGAATGCCTAAACAAAACGTGAGTTTTCACAGTTTTCAGTTCAAGACCAGTACTGCAAAGACTCTTGCCCGAGTGCATATCTTTGGAGCAAATCCTGGCCGGCGGTCTGAAACTCATGACCTGCCCTGTAAGCATAGAAGGAGAGAGAGGAACAGGTGCCAAGTCTTCCATTCCACCTGAACATGGCAGGTTTCTTCCAAGTTGTGAAGAGACCATTGAAGAAGCTTAGATCCTGAATTCGGCATGTTTCAGAAACGCAACATTGCTGGTTTTCAGCCATAGACATGCAGAGGAGCCAAAGTTTCACCTGATCAGAGCAAACCAAACTTTGCCCAGAAAGTCAAGGGAGCCTTTGCCGAGCCCAACTTCATGCAGAGGAGTTTCCTTGCCACGAACATGAAGGGAGGCTTCTACAAATCCTCTAGTGATACAAAAAGGAAGGACTCCTTTGCCATTATACATTGCATATCATTGCATTGTACATGCTTTGTTGCTCATTGTTTGTTCTTGCCTTTTGGCTCAAACACTGCCTATCCGAGATTGCCACCTTTGTACAAAGCAACTTTTGGCAGGTTTGGCAAACTTTGGATTAACTAATTAACTCTACAAGATTGCAGGGAACTGTGCAGAGTCTTGGAACTGCAGTGTCGTAGTCCTAGGAATCGCGGCTTTGTCAAACCTTGCCACTTCGTAGTTCGTAGCATCGGGAACTGTGGACAAAGGAGATTGATGATGTGCAGCAAGTCTGTGACACTACAAACGAATACAAATTACGCATGTGGCATGTTTATTGTGTAACCTTTTTGATAGTCATAGTCTCATCGGGTTCATCTCCCTGTCTGCAAAGTTGTGTGGCAAAGTCGGGATGGCAGCAGAGGTGGGAGTTCCGGGAGGAATTCCGGGAGCATGGTCAGTTGCATCGCCCACAGCTTGCCCATGATCCATTCTTTGGCAGAATTCGCTGCGTTTCTCTCTCTCTCTCTGTATACACACATATGTATATATATATAATATGTATATATATAATATGTATATATATATGATATGTATATATATAATATGTATATATATAATATGTATATATATAATATGTATATATATATAATATGTATATATATATAATATGTATATATATAATATGTATCCTCTCTCCTCTGTCTCTCTCTCCCCTCAATGTATCTTTCTCTCCTCTTTCTCTCTTTCTCTCCTCTTTCTCTCTTTCCCTCCTCTTTCTCTCTTTCTCTCCTCTTTCTCTCTTTCTCTCATCTTTCTCTCTTTCTCTCCTCTTTCTCTCTTTCTCTCCTCTTTCTCTCTTTCTCTCCTCTTTCTCTCTTTCTCTCCTCTTTCTCTCCTCTTTCTCTCTTTCTCTCCTCTTTCTCTCCTCTCTCTCCTCTTTCTCTCCTCTTTCTCTCTTTCTCTCCTCTTTCTCTCTTTCTCTCCTCTTTCTCTCCTCTCTCTCCTCTTTCTCTCCTCTTTCTCTCTTTCTCTCCTCTTTCTCTCTTTCTCTCCTCTTTCTCTCCTCTCTCTCCTCTTTCTCTCCTCTTTCTGTCTTTCTCTCCTCTTTCTCTCTTTCTCTCCTCGTTCTCTCTTTCTCTCCTCTTTCTCTCTTTCTCTCCTCTTTCTCTCTTTCTCTCTTTCTCTCCTCTTTCTCTCTTTCTCTCCTCGTTCTCTCTTTCTCTCCTCTTTCTCTCTTTCTCTCCTCGTTCTCTCTTTCTCTCCTCTTTCTCTCTTTCTCTCCTCTTTCTCTCTTTCTCTCCTCTTTCTCACTTTCTCTCCTCTTTCTCTCTTTCTCTCATCTTTCTCTCTTTCTCTCCTCTTTCTCTCTTTCTCTCCTCTTTCTCTCT